GGGGGGGGGGGGTTAAATGTTGACGTAATTAAATATGGGGGGGGGGCATCGAAAGTTTGACATGGGGGGGGGAGGCAAAACTGCGTAAAAATTGTTTACATAATTAATGGACGGCCCCTATTCGGAAATAACAATTTCTATCTACATTTTAATTTATTATTAATTTTTTTAACCATCTTCTTCAACTAAATGAAAACTAATCAAGGGCGGTGGAACATATTTGAAGCTCTCTGCTAGTTCTCTAAATTTCTTGTTGGTTATGTTGGCAAAATGAATGTCATAACTCATGGCCATGAGGTGGACTTATTGTACGTCACATTTCACCACTTTGACTTAACTCGTACGACGTATTACTGCGTCCAGGAAAACTGTGGAGACTTCCAATATCGTCACGAATCGACTCCTTGTTTTTTTTTTTTTTTTTTTTTTTTGTTTTTTTTTTTTTTTTTTTTTTTTTGGTGTTTTTTTTATTTTGTTCGTTCTGAAATCACGGGTTCATTCAGAGCCGTCTCGTGACTCTTGGAGGTCCCCTGCCTACCACTTATATTTTTGGTTGTCGTTGACCCGTGTACCGTCCCATCTTTGGGCCCCCCTCCGTAGCCGAGGTCCCTCTCCGTTGCAGGGCCCAGGTGGCGGGCGGCGGCTCTGTGTTCATTCATCACATCGTAACACCCGCCAGCTACAAACTGGGTCGGCAAACTCTTTGTGACTGGGACTCGGATTAACTTTCATGTCTCAAGTTTTGTTGGTACCGGTATAATAATATTATAGTGTTTAGGCTTACGAAAAGCTATCGGGGTTAAAATGTAACTTAGCTAACGGGATGAAGCAAACGAACTAGGAGAAGTTATCATAAGATGATATTTAAAGAAAATATTACGAAGGGCAAACGTGGGGGTTGGTTGGGGGGGGGGGAGAGAACCGATGAGTAAATCAATGAATTCAACAGCCAGGAATTACCGCTATCGATGGTCTGCTGTTCGCTATCCATAGCTTGACTTTCCATCGCTGTTTACATTTCCAGTGATGTGCTCGTTAGTGCAGGCTTCGGGAAAACCCAAGAAATGGATCTTGCAAAAAATATTTAAAAACTATAACAAAACTTTAAAAAATATGCTGCCGTGTGTAGTGCTGTAGCTGTTTGACGTCACAATTTTCGTAGGAATATAAAATATGTTATCACTAGCTATAGTTATAGCCCGCCAAACATTGGCCACGGCAATGCGTGAACTTCCCATCTACTAAAGTTATTTGACAAAACATGAACTCAAGTAACGCACATTTAAGAATCCCAAATTTTGCTACACTCCTCCCCCCCCCCCCCCCCCCCCCCCCCCCCCCCCCGGATACGTCACTGCATCCTTTTTTACTCCCATGAACTATATTAAATATCTTGATGTTCGAACCACTTTTAAACCGAATACTTTTTTACACCATACGTTCAGCCACTGGGTGCAGTGATCAATCAATTTGACATGCTGTATCACATGTTCGCGGACGATACACAACTTCATCAATCCGTGATCCCCTCTCAGTTCCCTCAACTTCTTAGTACGACACAGAAGACAGAGGAGTCAGTTAAGCACTGGATGACCATAAACAAGCTCAAATTGAATGATGAAAGATGAAAAACTCTCTCAGGTATGCAGATTGAGTTTGCTCAAACAGTGCGAGACCTGGGTGTATATTTAGACAGAACACTAACTATGGAAAATCACATTAACATGCTTTGCAAGGCGATTTTTCTAGAGCTGCGCAGGATTAGTCATATCAGACCTTTCTTAACGTTAGATGCATCAAAGAGGCTGATATCTGCATTTGTGTTATCATGCATGGACTACTGCAATGCTCTCATGGTGGGTCTCCCAGCTACGCTCCTGGATAAAATTCAAAGAGCACAGAATAATGCGGCTCGCATTGTTCTTCGCAAATGCAAATTCGACCATGCTAAAACACTTCTGAGAGAGCTGAACTGGCTGCCGTTCCGCGCTGGCATAGAGTACAAAATAGCAATTTTGTGCTACCGCTGCTTACATGACCTGGCGCCGTCTTATCTCAAAGCACTCGTGACGCCTTATGTTCCCACTAGACAGCTCCGCTCATCCGATAGTGGCAAAATATCGATACTGTGTGTTCGCCTTGAGACTTACGGAAAGCGCACTTTTGCATTTGCCGGCTCATCAATTTGGAACGCCCTTCCAGTCGCTCTCAGAAACAGCCAGACACTGGAGTCCTTTAAAACTGATTTAAAAACACATCTATTTCGCAAACGCCTTCTGGGGTGATGCTATCTACCATCTTTTTTCAGTTAATGTATATTGGCCTGTGTTGCTTATGGTTGAAATGGGATGAAAGACTTTGACTTGGTATGGTCGTATGTAGTTTTATATTGTTGCGTCTTTTTTTTTAATGTGGTAAATTTTAAATTGTTTTTATTTCTCTTTTTAATGTGGTTGACTTTATACCGCGCTTCGAGCTTTTGGGGATGAAGCGTGTTTTTCAAATAAACTTTATTATTATTATTATTATTAGAGACGATTTCATTTTCCACAAATAAAATATTACGCGCCAAATGCAGGTGTGTTATTAAAAAAAAAAAAAATATATATATATATCATTTATCGGGAATTATATTTTGCGTGCTAGTGAACTCATAATTGAACCATACTTTATTACAAAGGTATAGAATTATTTGTAATATAATATCAATACCAAATACACTGAATAATATTAGAGACGTTTTCATTTTCCACAAATAAAATATTACGCGCCAAATGCAGGTGTGTTATTAAAAAAAAAAAAATATATATATATATCATTTATCGGGAATTATATTTTGCGTGCTAGTGAACTCATTATTGAACCATACTTTATTTCAAAGGTATAGAATTATTTGTAATATAATCTCAATACCAAATACGCTGAATAGGAAGCAGCCAGAAATGGAGGAAGCAGTAGCAGTCCAGAGTCTCACCAGATGTGTAATATACATATAGGAGGTCATTATAACATCCTATTGAATTTAATGAATATTAAAAAAATAATAATAATAATTTTATGAAGATATTTTTATTTATTTCTGCTATGTCAGTTATGTTCAGCACTAACAGCAGGGCAGGTATGGAAGCTCTTTTTGCTCTATCGTTCATAGTGTTAATCAGAATACATGGTGAAAATCATGTCTCAATAAGCACATTATTGTCTCCACAGTTTTACCATGAGCATGAATTTCTCCATTTAGCAATTTTAATTAAAAAATTTTTTACTCCATGGTACCGGTATGAAGATGTCCTTAAAGTTTTCTATTCAATTATATTATAATTTTCAATCCATGTCAGTGTTTGTGATCGTCCTCCGTTTGTCTAACATCCGAAAGACTTTTCTGTTTAATGTGGTACGGTAACTAATTTGATCTAGTTGATACTATATAATGTCTCTTTTTTTGTTTATGAACATAAAAAAAAGAAAGAAAGAAATGACACACCATTTCCCCATTCCCCCCCAAAGAAAAAAACCAAAACAACAACAAACAAATAAACAATAGTGTCAAACCAACAGGCTCACGTGGAGATGGGAAATTAGGAGCAGCCTGTTCTGCTACATATCTGCATTTCCTAAATTTTGAACAAACATGCTTGTGTTGTGTTACCACACATTAAGTTCAAAGAGCCTGGTATAATTTTAGTCATGGTTTCGTTTTTATATATTTTTGTTATAAATATGTAACAATACATTACTATTATTATTTTGTTATTACAATGGCTATTCAATGTTAATCCCTCTCTATAGCCAGCAGTCACATGAGCCCCCATCATATAAAAAATGTTGCACAAGATTGTAATCCTGATCCACATTTTTTTATTGATAGCCTTTTGTATAGTGTAAAGTACATTTTCTAATGAACCCATACATTTTCTCCCATCCTATCCTCTCTCCTTTACCCACCCCATCTTATCT